GGGTATGGATAATTCCTGGAATTACGCATTCCCCAAACTTGGTCTGCACTTTTTTTCTCCAAAATTTCTTTCGTGCTGACATCCTTTACATATGATGCACAAATCATTTTGGGCTTGTTATGCAACATGCACCAACCTTTTTAAAATAGCTTTATACTTTTACCAAATTCAAAATACAACTATGAAATAGGATACTACACACACTTTGCTTCAACAAACTACTGCACATTTTAACGAACCCACTCTAACACAAACAACTTAACACATGGACTAAATAGTTGCCAAAACCAAAACTTCTTGCTATTTCTTAAGTCCCTTGACATAACACACATATAGCTTGAAGTCATTCTAGCACTGAGCTTTTTATAATAGATTTTCATGAGAAGTGATTGACAGGCAATGTAGGTAAAACTACTGGTGATTAGTGAGTGGCTGGGAAGACTTGACAACAACTCCCTATTTGATGACGTCAATCTTTCTACAACAAACCTAGTAACACTGTTCTCATGAAGGCTGACGAGCGCACAAATGAGATCCTCTTGGAAGCTTGTGCAAGGCTGCTCATCCAAAATAATGGTGGAAAGCGCAATTTCAGATCAAAACAAAATGTCAATTTCTATATTATTTTTCAATAAATGGATTTTATGTACTTTTATATTTTTCATCGTGAACTAATGACTGGGAGACCTCAATTTCATGCACTTGTCAGCCATTATTAATAGTGTATAGCGCTCATCTGCCAGAATGACTTACATTTGACTTACACTTCCTATTTGCTTTCTACCTCATACTTTACAATTTTATGAAGCTCAATCGCAGCCTCTGATATGGCAGCAGCTGTGGTTGCCATCTCTCTCATTGGACTAATAGCTGAATACTGCAACGCTGCTACTTTGGTGGAATGTACAAGAGATTTAACACACTCTGCTAGCTTCATAGTCACTCTCGTAATGTCACTGCTAAGTTTGTCGTGAGAAATTTTACTCTGAAGAGTTTCCCCAATGTATATAAATTTGTGCGCACTCAGTACCACAAACTTACTGTTTGAAACAAATATTTTTGGTGGTTTGTTGTCCTCAATCGAGGAAAAGAGTGTTTTCATTGCTTCGTTAAGAACAAAGAGTTGTGCGTCTATTTCGTATTTATAAAATTCAAGAAGTTCTTGGTCGCTGAAAGAAAGAATGAATTGGCTCATTCCGTTTTCCCCAAAGGCAACCTTAGCTGGAGGTGGTTTAGTTCGAGAGAATGATTGAGATCTTTGTATTTGTGTGTCAGGTTTTAAATGCTGACTATACTCCTCTACTCTTGAGGATAATGGACACACAGATGTCTGTCCACTCGCAGAGTTCGGCAGGGCCAAATCGGATCTAGATGCGGCAAGAGGCGGCTTAGAACCAACAGGACTGCCAGGAACTGTTGTCTCTATACTGTCAGACACTCGATTACCTTTTTGTGTGTCATTATTATTGTTATGATTTTCAGATTCTGTATTTCGTTCCAGTTCCGTAGGATCTGAGTTACATTTTCTCTTCCCTTTAGGAGACTCTGCACCAATCTGAAATAATTTGTGCTCGCGGAATTTTACTGGATTTGGAACTTCTCCCTCTTTCGCTTCCTTGACTCTATTTTTGTAGCTTTTCCTCATAGTAGGTTTTCTGTCTAGCTTGGGTTTGGGAGGGGGGTTTGGAGGGACCTTCTCTTTTGGTTTAGATTCTCCTTCAGGAGCAAACCGTTCGAGACTCTGCTGCCGCACAAATCTTATTCTTTCGGTGCTGTCTTGTCTCATTGGAGGTTTAGGAGGCTGAGTATTGCTAGGTTTTCTTGGTGGAAGTTTTGGAGTGACTTCCTCTTCCATTCGATCTTTTTGTTTTGCATCATTTAAATTGCGCAATGGACTTCCTTGGTTGTCAATGCCACACAACCTTCGCACAGTTTCTGGACTCAACTTTGGCTTATCTGAAGGTTTAATGTTGGTGTCAACACATGCCTTTATCAGCCCTACCATCATAGTTGTTGAATTAACTTCTGAGCTTTCTGCTTCCATGGCAACTGGTTTAAACTTTTCTATCTTTGCGACAACTTCTTCAGCAGTTTTGTCATTGGTATTCCTTCCTGTATCCTCCAGGGAATCAGTTCTCGGAGCCTGAACTGGAGCTTTCTGTTTTGTTTCGGCAGGGGGTGGCAGAGGATCTTTTGGTAGTTTGTAAAGAATGGTTGCAGCCATTCTAATCACACTGGCAAGTTTTTTGGAGTTTTCAGGGACACTACGAATGTAAACCATGATCAAATCAAGATCATCTTCTTTGTTGTCCGTGCGCTCAAGTGGTGCTCTCCAGCCACCATCATCCAATCTTTGTAGAGTTAGCTTCAAGGAGTAGTAAGTCTCGAGCAATGGTTCAATTGCTCGGCTCAACTTTCCAGTCAATTCAGGATTTCCAGTCTTCTGCGCATTAACAAGAGTGCTTAATCCAAATTCTGTGAGCAATCGCAGCACTACTTTTGCCTTTCCTGTAACATCTCTTATATCAGCCACTTTGGATCTCAACAGGGTGACGTCACGCCAGGTAGTGGTAACAAAGCTTAGAAGTTTATTCACCGTTACATCAACAGCTTGTTCAAGTTTGGTCAACCTTTGAAGAGCAGCAGGAGGATCCAGCTTGATTCCTTTGACGGCAGACATGTTGATTCGCTGCAGGATGCTGATTTTAGTTTGTTTGGCAGGTGGAGTAGCACTTTCTCCTGGCACCTGTGTGGGCTATAAGAACATGTAGATGATCACTAAAATGGAATAACATATTTTACGACTGGCCACCACACTCTATATGGAGCTCCATGAGGTTAGGTTCCCTCCACACATTCTACCACTACATTTTTTTTACCAGAGAACCTGGAGAAAACCCTTGCGGCAAGGGAGAGAACAACACATTAAAGAAACTGAACTGAACCCAGACCACAGTGATGAGAGGCAAGCAGTCAATAAGCCGCTAATGCCACCCATGCAATTCGAATGACTTATTCCACCTATTCATTATCATAGTCAACTTCAAACTTGCATTACTTTCCAGGCACATATACTAAAGTAATCAAAATGCCAATGCAAAGGTGCCAATCAAAATGCATTTTTTTGACCTTGTATGTTGATGCAGAAATTGTGCATTTTGTACACAAAATTGAATCGAAAAATGCTTTCACTCAATTATGATTTTGGCACCTACAATACACACTTTGAACAGTCACATGGGATCCAAGACTGAAAACACTTCCTGGGCAATCACAATCTTTAATTGATGGTGTGAAAACATGATGGAAGGCAAACTTTACAGTGACTTACTTGCACAGGGACATCATAAACATTGACAGGTTTTGTTCTGCTGAAGCCATAAATCTCCTGATAATCCACATAGTCATCATCTTCAGAGCTGACCTTCCCACCACTTCCAGTGCTACTACTTGATTCTCGCTTCCCTACACTACCACTTGACAATTGTCTTACCCCACTGCTGTCACTTCCACTAGAACTTCGTTTGCTATTTTCCTCTGTGAGTTGATTCCTCTGAGGCTGCAGCTTTGCGGCATCAGCCTTGGAGTTTTCATTAGGAGTTTCAGCATCTGCCATAGTTAATTTTGTTGGGGTGTCATAGATTTTGCCACCAACGTCTTGGATGTCATTCTGAATCCCTCTTGCAACAGCAGATGGGACATCATAGATATCATTAGTAGTTGATTCCGATGGTGGCACGTCATAGATATTTTCAGCAGTGTCCTCTAACTGTTTTGGAGAAGTTAAAGCTGTTGAAGACTTGTCACTTGACTGAGAGCTTGAAGAAGAACGGCTTTCCCTATTCACAAAAAGCTTTGCATCATCTGCAACACCATTTTTCAATCCAGAATTTTTCTCCTCTTCTATTATTTTTGCAGTGTTATTATTCGTCTTGCTATGAGCCAATTCATATACATTCATGACGGCAGGCACATCGTAAATATCTTCTGATATACACGGCTTAGGAGATCTTGGGGAGACAGGTTTTGGAGGTCTGGGTGGAGGCTGACTTCCTTTCTTGCTTTTCTCATCATTTATTTTCCGAGGGGGTTTAGAGAGTGTTTTGGGTGGGGCTTCTTTAGTTGGTGACTTTGGACCTCTTTTAGGCGAGGGGGAACATTTAGGTGGTGAAAGTTTTTCTGGTGCCTGGATCAAGTCAGGAAATCTTTTTTTCTCTGGTGTAGTGACAGGAACATCATAGATTTCCTGATATATATTATCTATATTGTCATCTATTTGTGAGTTTGCTCTGTCCTTTAAAAGCTCAGCAGGATATTCAAATCTATTGGAATCTGCTTTTGGAAAATCATAGTCTTGAGGACTGAATACAGAGCGTGGTACATCATAGTCTTCTCCATTCTCCTCGTATGGTCTTGGCACTGCGTAATCGGCATACTCTAATGTAGGTGAAGTTGCAACAGGCTTAGGTTCCTTTGCTATCTCAGACAGACGATTACCGGGTGCAATACCTTGACGACCATGCAATGAGCACAGCCACCAGCCATACAGACCATCAATGTCTTTTTCTAGGACAGTTATGACATCACCTTTACGGAATGTTAGTTCATCTGCGTTGTCGGCAATGTTGTCGTACAATGCTTTGGCAAGGACAGTCTGAAATATAAACAAATACAACAAATAAGTTTAAAATATAGTATAGTTTTTAATACAATCTAATACTGATCTGATTTGAGTGCTTTCTGAAGTATGTAAGGTAAATAGAAACAAAATTAATGGACCTACAGTATCATAAGGTAGGTAACCGAACATATAATAATCGTGGTAGAACTAATAAGCACAGTGAACCTAAACTAGGTCTTCTCGAGCATCACAACACCACTCACAGCACTACAACATCTGTACCCATCATAACACTGACAGTATAGCTAACATCTTTGAATGTAATATATTAATACAGAATCTACTGATTACAAAATAGAAAATATGGCAACCAATATTTGAATAACTATCATCCTGGACTGACTAGCCTTGTGTTCACATTGAAACATAACTTTATAATGATTAAGTGTTTTCACAGCAATACGAGACTAGCCATAATCAATCCAGAACAATAGTCATTCCAATTGATCGCTATATTTTGATTTGGTTTATAAACCATTTAACTGCATCTAATTGTTCTTAAATTCATCTTAATATGGAACTTCCTATTCAAATATTTAAGGCAAAACAAGCTGTACTGCTTGATTTATTTTCATATATCTATAAGGCTTACCCTGCGCAACAGAGAACTCTAAACTGAAGTATTCTTACACAGTCAATAATATTGTTTATACAAGACAGCATGAAATATTTTAACTCTATCTTTTGTTATCTACTACTGTTTACTTCCAAAATCATAAGTCAAAGAGAAGTGCTATCTCCTGCTGTTTTTATTCTTGTTTTAAATACCGCAGAAGGTTAAAACCACACAGAAACAACAACAAAGATAGCAATAAAGAACACTTGTCTATTTGACAAAGAGAACATTCAAATTGATAAAATCAGAACTATTTTACTAACTTACAATTACGTATTACCTTTACCAACAATATCATTTAGCACCAAACTAGGGCTTGTGTGTTATTGTGGTTTAGATAATAATTCTAGGAATCAAGTAATATAATATAATCTTTAACAGGTGTAGATTTAGAACAGATAATTTACAGGAACTGTCGAATGATCAATATAAAAACGGCTATGGTAATCCGTTGATAACTAAAGAGTGCTTTCATGGATCAGAACGAAAAATATTATAAACCTTTTAATTTACACCCTATATGCAGTACGTGTTGAGAATTTGATGAAACATTATCATTTTAATTTTTTATCTAGATCATCAACTTGCTCCTTAACCCAGACCTTGTTGAAAATGCAATGCCAGTTTATTAACTTAAGAAGAATTGAACTAATATATAATATTTCTCTTAAGTAATGGAATTTTGAAACAACTTGAGGAGCAAGCTCTTAATTACCAATTTAATCAAAGTTTAAATATAATATATATTACATAAACATAGGAAAGGATCAAGTGTGGTGAAAGATTTCAATACCCTTCATCACAAATGCAAGGAACATCCTACTTAAACTGACAGCTAAAATCCAAATGTTCAACCAAAACTGTATTGATTATGAATAACTCCAGTGAATTCTTGGCATATTACTCTCACCCTAGAGTGCAGAAAACTAACCAACTAATACAGCTGTAGTTTAGATTATCAACCAGCGTATTGGAATGAGCAGTTTTATTTTATTTATTCTTCTTGTTGATTAACTTTGGACAGACTCCAAGACAATGACTTTGATCCCTGACCTATCTAGCTAGACTTATAATTAATCTCCTCGTCATTCCTGTAGCTTTTCTAAACAGATGAAAACTATCATTATTAAACACTACCAAATCTTGTTATACCATAAGCAACTACACTACATAATCACCCCTAAAAATATACTTTAGATAAATTAACACCCTACCTAATCTAACACCCTATTAGTAGATTCAATAAACACAAGATTAATTTACCTAGACATATTTAATTAAATTCTCACTATTTTAATAAAATAGAGGTTAGCATTGTTGTAAAATGGATTGGAAAGGAACTTTGACATGTTATAACACTATACTAGTTAAGAGGAAATTTTTTTCAATAACAAGCAATAATGGCAAGAAGTGCCAAAAACTAGACATCTTATGAGTTTTGATCCCAATTTTCGTTTTGGGTTAACACTCAAAATCTTTTTTAAACAGTTAGAAAACGATATACTATGATAAAATGCCTGTTTGAAGCAGTGTTTTCAATTGTACAAAGATGTTTTGTTGCATTTTTGTTAGAATGTTACTTTGCCAGGCTTTTTTATAGAAAACAGATAAGGAAAATAAGCAAATGAACGCCTAAACCTCATTTTCGAATAAAATTTTTGCTTTGGGTTAACACTTTGATTCCACTTTCATTGGTCATCTTCACTTCCAAACAAGTTAAACTTTCTGAATAACAAGATTTTAGCCTTGTACAACAGCCTTTCTTCAAGAAAATAGTTTTTGGCGCTCACTGCTTGAATACAAAAAGAATTAATTCACTTAACAATTATTTATAAATGTCAAGGGACCTGCAAAAATAACTTTTTAATATGATTTTGGGGTCATTTATTTAAGCAGACTACATACATTATTGAGTAAACGATAAATCATTTAATAATATCCAATGAGAAAAGCATAATTTTTTGATGCCACATGGCTGAGATAGCTGTTAAAGAGTACTCTCGACCTCACACTTATTTGCCCAGGCAAAGAAAAATTCCTAACCTCTAAATGAACTCTTATTTTTCACTTATGGAACTAATCAATAAGATATTTATAAAACACTAGACAATTATTTGATAGAGAAGGAGTTCACAGTTAATTAAAATTAAGTCTTTGATGAGTGACTAAGGTTACTCTATGTTAAAATAGTATGGATACTTTTTAGTTTTAAGGAAAAAACGTCATTCGCTCAGTCACAAGTTATTTCATTGAAAAGAAGCTGAGCCATATCAATGCATTGTTATGACTACACAAACTATAAATAGTAATTATGTTAAAATAGATAAGAAAAAAATGGATGGTAAAAGTGTTGAATTATTCTAAGAGTATCTGATATAATTAATTCTAAGTGTAATTATTATTATAAATAGTTATAACTAGATATCTTTCAATATCAGGTTCATGCATTTGAAGCAATTCTCATTAATCCAATTATCCATAGGATGATATACTGTTCATAAATCGATTTATCAGGGTTGTATATTTAAGAATTAATTTATGGATATCTAACATATATTGTAAGGTTGGTTATAATTTATATTTATTGAAAAGTTGTGTGTGTTTTAAGAGTCTGTACTCAAGGGTTTCATACTCATCAGCATGCGTAAGTAAAATACAAACAAATCCTTCTTTTAATTTGTCAAGGTTAAATTCAATGGAAATAAATAAAGAGAAGATCATAACAGTTAAGAAGGCATCAGAATTTCACAGGCATTAATACCGAAATGTATAAATGAACTAAAGATTTTGAAAGACAAGTATTCAAAACAATGGGTTTTACTATGAAGTTGTTTTGTCTGAATTTGACACCTTGGCCACGTTGGTGATCTTGAAAGGCTTTTCCTTTGGGAATAAAATTTGATGAAAACACTTCTATGATGCCAAGCAAAAAAATATTTTGAGGACATTTGTATGCAACTTAACTTTAATGTGCATGAAGGCCATAAAAAGAGCATATCAAAAACACAGTCCAAATAAATGCTTCAAAAACAATATAATAAAAAGAGATTAACTTACTGCACATGTGATAAATATTGTTTACAAGTTATTTAGCCGGCATGTGGTTGAGAAAGAAAATGTAATGCCTAAGTTATTGAATAGTCAAGCAAATAACTTGAGTTATAATAAGTCATTTGTACTTTAGTTAAGCGATTGTACAAGGCTAAGAACTCCATTAAGCATTATGGGTGGCATATTGTCATGCTTGATGGCTTAATATCACATATCACAAGAAAAATATTTCTCTGCTGGTGAACAAAACGAAGAAATTCTAAAACGATGGTGAAGGACCTTTGAAGTCGTTATCAGGAGGGATCTATATTACATTGCTTGTCCTCAACGTTTCGGAATTTCATCAGACCGTTTGAGTCTAGCTTTGAGACGGTATAAAAGCTCGAAGTATTGCGTGTTTACTCTCTTTTCAACACTTCCCAAACTTCAAACATACGTATGGTTTTAGTAAGTTTTCATAACCTCATTCACCTTCCAAACGACAACATCATTGATGGAGCTTTGCCCCGTTATAAACACGAGACAATACTGTATTATGCAACGATGCGAATGCTTATTTCTAGTTGTTTCAGAGGTTAGAATATCATAGAGACGAATAATCTTACCGGTACGGACAYGCCAAAGTCTCCCTTCATCGAAAAAGCTTTGCGATTTTCAAATTCCTTTGTGTTGTGATTAATAATCAACCAATATGGAGAAGCCACATTCCACTACAAACGAGAACAACACACTATTCGATCCCGAAAAAGCGCCAAAAGTCGGCTCTAAACTTCAAATGTACACTTGGCAGTGTTTCAGCGTCCGTATAAGCGACAGTAATTGTCCCATTTAACATGCTTAGATCAACAAAAAGCAACAAAAGGCTGCCCATCAATTCAGCTGCTACGCTCAAACGACCTGACATAAAAGAGAGCAGTCAACTGAGTCGGCTCTTACCTGCATTATAATCACAAAACTGTTTTCCAAATCACCTCGACTCTAACCCCAGCTACTTATGTCATTCATCCATAAAGATAACTCCATATTGAAGAGTTCTGATCGTCCAAAATGTCCAAGAAGAAATTTTACAATCTAGAATTACTGTGTGTTGGTATGATGATATGTTTGATTATGAGTATATCTGACTGTTGAACAATAGACATGCGTGACGTAATACTAGGAACCGCACCTGGCTCTTCTCTCCCACCACTTCCGATGACTTTTATGTTCAGAATGCTGCCTGTTTAGGTTAGGGACACTTGGGTAATTATTCGTGTACTCTTGATAAAGCTTTAAATCCCACAGCGAAGTGTAAGTTAGTTTGAGATCAAGTTAAATCAAACTAAGTCTTTATTCAGTTAGTGAGGATTTTGGGCATACCTCAATGAGCGGAAGTACCCTAAGCTTAGAGTACTTAGACCGTAGAACCTTTTGAGGGTATTTGATATATAAAATTTTACAGTTCTACTGATACCCTAAAGAAATCTTAAGACCTAGGCCTTAAATATTCCATAAAAGTTTTAGTCACTAAATTAAATTTGTTGTCGTTAGTTCGAAAGAAAGTTTTTTGGTTGTTGCTGGATCATTCTCGTGTTGTTGTTTTTTGGTCATCGCTAATCGAGCTTTTCCTGTTACGCAAGTAATCGTGCTAAATCCAGGGTTTATTAGCGTTGCAACGGTATCTCGAAATATCACTCTGTAGTTCCGTATTGTTTTAATACTTCAAAAAAGGGCTTGTCATAGTCAGTAAAAAATTCAGATTTATATTTTTTACTGTGACCATTACAGCTTCTAAAATAAATTTTATTTGGTTGGTGAAAAAATTAATTGAATATTAATTAATTGTCGAGAGTTAGTCTTTAATTCATGATTAAGAACAATTTAAATTAGGGTTATTTATCTTGATCAATATTTCGATATATGTTGAAATAAAGAGACACTTAAAAGGATAAAAAAGCCATCTGAGAGAGGAAGAAGGATTTCTTTATTTTTGAATTCATTCTGGATAAACTTAAAATTTCAATTCCTTTCCAAGTGATGACAGATGTTATTAAACGGAATGGCGCCGGAAGAGGAACTTTGCATGACTTCCTTGAACAGAGATTTGAGAACGTGAGAGATTACTCAAACAAAGCGGAAAATACATGCCAAGTTCGATACACTATACTGTTATAAATGTATTCATAGACAAAGTAAACTAGAAAATAGATAATTTATACAGGGATGGATCCAGGGGGTGTTCTGCGATGCACCAGATACCCCTCTAACGCCGTAATTACTCATACGCCTTTATGAAGCGATGCATAATATTTCTTTATATTTGGGACACCCCCTAAAACATTACATTATAATAATAATAATAATAAAAATATAATAATAATAATAAATAATAATAATAATAATAACAGTAATAATAATAATAATAATAATGGGATTAACAGTGGATTCCACAGAGTGGCA